GTACCTCTGCCGAAATACTGGAAACAGTCTAAATTGCTTTGCAAGAATTGATGCTCACAAAACCGAAACAAATCAGAGAGCAAAGCAATCCCCACCCGCCTCCCCCAGGAGATAGACACACAGCCTGGAGCAGGGCTGGAGTCCATGCTAGCACTCCAGGAGGGGGGCTCTAAGAGTCGCTAGACCTACAGTTAACTAGAGCAAGAGCTTGCCTTCACCCCCTATTTCAACCCCTTTGCCTAGCCCCTACCTCCAAAAAGCTCCAAGGTCAATCAAATCAATTGGGCTTAGGGAAAATAGAGGCCAAAGCCCACAGAGATTAGCTACAGGCTCAGAGGAAAAGAATAATGACTAGGTCTGGGCTTTGAAGAGACATCAGTGACTAAATGAAAAGTCTCTCTGAGCTCTGCAAAGAGAGCTGGGGGGAGGGGCGTGGGCACGAAGGCGAGGCAGGACCACGGCCACCTTTTCCTCCTCCCACCGTACAGCCTAGCTCTCCTCAAGCAGCAGCAGGTGGAGGATGCTTGTGGCCAAGGTGAGGCTGTGGCCTTCCAGGAAGTTGTCACCCTAGGAAGACCAACCCTATCCTGTGAAATTATGACCCCCAGCAAGGGACTTGATTTCTTCCAGGTTCCATTTTCTTCAGCCTTTGAGAGAACAGTGTTCTTATCCTCTGAATGACGACAAGAAATGCAAGACAGCAGTCCCCTCACCTTGTCATCTGCAGACAGCAAGCTTCCTCTTAATTTGCTGAAGTATTTGTCAGTGTAAGACACAGCATCACGGGCCCGGTGCAGCAGGAAGTCCCAGGTGCAGCACTTCCTCTGCTCTCTGATCTCATGCAGGTTAGCATTCAGGGCAAAGCACCACCATTCCCGGCAGCTGAAACATGTCACAACAATGTAATTACCCCTTACAGTAAAAGCAACCGAAATGCCATCAACCCTTTTGCATCAAATGGATGCAAAAAGGGCAAGCCACGTAACACCGCTCCTCTTCTGAGATACCTTTCCTCTTGCGAGCCATCAGTTTGTGCCTCAAACTCATTTTAATACGAAGCTAAGTCAACCTGTGGGGGAAGTAATCTACTGGCAAATAACAGACCCTCAATGCATACATCAATAATAATATATGACTCAACTCGTGAGTGTAAGGTAAATACCATCATTAAGATAACTACCAAGGATTTGACTAATGTAGATTTTAAATGGAACACTTCACAAAAGACATGGACATACACAGGCTCTAAAAAAAAGTTTGGATATGCTGGACTGGTCAAGTTTATCACTGCAACATGAAAAGATTTATTTTTGATACAGAAGTTATACAGTGTTCTACATAAGTTGACCAAATAACCTGGGGGGAAAGACATAGAGAAGTAGCTTCAAAGAATTCTGCCAAGTATTTAAGCAGATCCCACCAGAGCAACACCAGTCTACTTGCTAAACAAGGCTCAGAGGGTCTTGTCCATTCCACTACGCGACTGAAGACTAAACCCACACCACCAAATCAACAGACAATAAGACTACCAACAACAATAAACAATAGGAATAGCATCTAAAAGGCCAGAAAAATCAACTGCACTTTTATCTCCAACCATGTGTAAAGGACAGTGAGACATATTTCTGATCTACGCACAAAAAAAGCCAACCCACGCCACCGAATGCATGTCGTTCCCAACACTTTACAAGCCCTTACTTCTCGGATACAGCCACTTTGGGTTTCCATCTTCGAAACTTCACCTGCCTCTCCTTTCGTTCCAGCTCCCTGAGGAATTCCATCATTTTCCGGTACTGCAGCTTTGTATTGGAGGGTAAGAGACACTAGGTTAGAACCAATTTGTTTCTTTTACGCAGGTTAAGACATATATCCAACAAGAGCAATTCGTATTAGTCAACCCACTGAATTGAAATCCAGTGCAAATGTAAAGACCAAATTTCAGCATCAGGTGGCATTTCTCTCTGAACACTGACAGTTAAGTACTGACATTTACTATGTCTCTTATACTCTCTGCTCAGCACTTGAAAACATTAACTCAAAACTAACCTGAGGGCTGCCGAGTGGCTCAATTGGTTAAGAGTGCAAACTGAGCAATAGGGTCGCCAGTTCGATTCCCACATGGGCCAGTGAGCTGCGCCCGAGCTGAGCTGCCACTGAGCTGCTAACAGGTGGCAGGATGGCTCAGCTGGTGAGAACACATGCTCCTAACAACAAGGTTTCCGGTTCGACTCACGCATGGGATCGTGGGCTACGCCCACACGCAACTAAGATTGAACAAAGCACCTTGAGCTGAGCGGCCGCAAGCGGCCAACGTGCGGCCAGATGGCGACTAGACTTGGAGCTGAGCTAGCTGCGCTCTCCACAGCTAGGATTGAAGGACAAAAACTTGGCTGTTCCCCTTCCCTGATTCCCCAATAAAAATTTTAAAAAAACCTGAGATCAACCCAATCCAACTGTACAACAAACAGTGGTTCTGCACCTACCCCAATTTTGGTCTCTATGCGCTTTCTCTCCCACTGGGGTACAGTGAAATACCAAGACTCTTCTATCAACACGCTTCCTTCACCTGTTACAAGCTCAATAGTGAGAGCAGAAAGAAAGAG